CTAGAAGCAAAAGAGCCATTGCTGTGAAACACTATTCATCGCAGATTGCTTGTTCTCCAGATTTCTTTTGATTGGGACGAATAAATCAAATTTTGAGCTGGGATTGGTAGTCGGCTTGTGCAGGCGCATCTTTTGACACCTAATTCAAAGCTTTTGGTTTGATTTTTTGTTTTCTCCTTTGGATGGGACTGGCCGGAGTGCGTCGTTGCTAGGAGGGGGCTGGGGGGGATGTGGGGCTGGGGAGATGAGATGGGGGAGCTGGGATCGGGGGTGGTGGGGGTTAGGGAGGTGATTGGGGGCTACGGAGTCAAGCCAGTGGTCGGCGGCGGCCGGCGGCGCTGATGGTCAACGACGGCGGTTCGCGGTGGTGGTGGGGGAAGGGGGGTGGCGGTGGATGTGGTGGTGAGGGGCCGTGGGGGGTGGTGGACTATGATGGGTTGCCGGTAGAGTCAAATGAAAGGGGCGGCACTGCTGGCCGGTGCTGGTGGCAGGCGGCGGCAACCTCCGTGGTGGCCTGCAATAGCGGAGGTGGTCGGCAGTGGGTTTCAGAAAGGGCGAATGTGGCCGGTGTCACTGCGGAGGCGTTACTTTAGATGTTTCACTATGATGGTGTCACTATGGTCGGCGGTGGTGACCGGCGACAGTGACACGAGCGATGGCGGCGGAAGTGACATGAAAATGCGACAGTGACACGGGCGGTTGCTACAGTGACACGGGCGGTGGCTAAAGTGACACAGGCGGTGGCTACAGTGACACGTGCGGTGGCTACAATGACACGGGCGATGGCTACAGTGACATGGACGGTGGTTGTAGTGACACGGGCGGTGGCTACAGTGACACGGACGGTGGTTGTAGTGACATGGGTGGTGGTTGTAGTTACAAAAAAACGAACACGCAGTGACATAAATTTTTTTGCAGTTACATCATGTTTTCTAATTGCACATATATGACCTTCTTGATCACTTTTTTGCCCCTTTTTAAAAGTGATCACTTTTTGGGTAATTGGTTCATAATTAGTAATATCCAAGTAAAAAACCCAAAATTTTACTCCATATAATATTTCACTATTTATAAGAATCCATAAAAATTCTTAGATAAATCATGAAGACCTCTGGAGTTTAATGGAATGCCGCATAAACTTGTTAACTAGGGACTCTTGAGAAGACCCCTTGAACCGTTCAATAATAACGTGGAGTACCTCAACAATGAGACTATTGCCATAGGTTATTGTCATCTTCGCTGGTCATCAACCGAATATCCACTTCGCCTCAAAAGTCAAAATGTCTGACAATTAGTATGTTAACTACTCCTAATTAGGTGAAACAAAATTAATACCGTAAAGGTATATAAATGTATCAACCGACAACAAATCTAGCTATACTGAAGCATCAAACTAATTAAAAGTGTAAATCCTTTAATTATTCCGACATTCAATATAAAACAAAACAAAAATATAGTTGCAAATCTCTAATATATTCTACAACACTTAAAAGTAATTAAACATGCGTGTAATAGCCAATTGCGGAAACTAAATTAAACATCAACCGCCATGGACTTCATGGAAGTAAAGGATTAACCACAGTGCCAACAAAGACAACAAGCCCGGAGACATCCTCCCGGATGAAGAAGGCAAAGGGATGGTCAGCTACAAAGTCTATTTTCTCTTCCTCAACCATAGAAATTCCACATCCAAAACCTCCCATTACCACAGTAACTGCAGCAGCTTCTGTTCCCTTCTCATTGACATCAACAACACACTTGTGGATGATGCTTGAAACAAAGGGGCTCTCCCTCGGGTCTACCACCATTTCGCCTAGACCGGCACGGGAAAATTCCACCCCGAGATCATCTTTAGTGTATTTATAGTTTCACTGACATAGTTTTAAGAGTTTTTGCCATTTTTGGTCCTTCGACTATTATGTCAATGATACTTTTGGTACTCGATTTCTAATTGTTGCATTTTTTAGTTCTTGAATATTGTGCTAGAGACACTTTTAGTTTCCGACTTCAAGATTTCCCACTTTTAGTCCCTCAGTATTGTCGAATTGACACTTTTAGTCCTCCCATTATGATTTTGACGCAATAAGTAGACTAAAAAAGTCAATATTATACTACCTCCATCCCCCTAAGTTTGAAACAAAGGGATGTGCTGTGTGGTTTTTAAGAAAAGGTAGAATTGTGTGGTTGGTATTGAATAAATAAAGTGTGAATAAAGTAAGAATGAATTCTACCCACTCAAATATTACCAAATATGGTACGAGACAAACTTAATTAGACAGATGAAAAAAGGTAAAACGGAACAAAGTTAAGGGGACAGAGGGAGTAATAGTTCAAAGACCAAAAGTAACACTTTTATGAAAGTTGAAGGACTAAATATGAAAATTTTTAAAGACGGGTAGGAAAAGTGTCTCTAGCGCAATAGTCAAGGACTAAAAATGGATAAAATCAAAGTCGAGTAGCAAAAATGTCAATGACATAATAGTCGGAGGACTAAAAGTGGAAAAAACTCTAATTTAATTTCTTTTCAAAATGAATCTTTGACTCGTACTTAGTTTTTTGAAGGTTTTTATTGTTTTATTCTTCTAATAGGATTATATATAGGACTATATACTAAGAGCTAGAAACATATACTTTCTCATATTTTAGAAGTTTTTTTACTTTTAGTAATCCTATTTTGAGCATTTTTTCTTATATTGTGATAAAATACAAAATGGAGATTCAGGGACCTATATACGTAGTATATTAGAACAATGCCCGGTTACTAGTCTAGGAAAGGAAAGCTAAATACATGGAGTATATTTTATATGCTCACATATCGGAGATCGGATCAGCTTGAGATCAAAGGAATATTGGAAAGCAGCCAAAAGGGTCATGCGGTATTTACAGAGAACAAAGGAATATATGCTCACATATCGGAGATCGGATCAGCTTGAGATCATTGGGTATACCGACTCTGATTTTGCTGGATGTCAGGATTCCTTGAAATCCACTTCGGGCTACATCTATATTTTAGCTGGAGGAGCTATCTCCTGGAGGAGTATCAAGCAGACTCTTACAGCTACTTCCACCATGGAAGCAGAGTTTATAGCATGTTATGAGACATCCAATCAGGCATTATGGCTGCGAGATTTTGTTAGTGGACTGCGCATAGTGGATAGCATTGAAAGACCACTTAAGCTATTGTGTGACAATAGGTCAGCAGTCCTCTATGCTAAGAACAACAGTAGTTTGACCAAGGCAAAACACATTGGGGTCAAATTTAAGGCTGTTAAGGAACGAGTACAAGAAGGAAAGTTATCTATAGAACACATTAGCACAAACTCCATGATTGCGGATCCGCTCACTAAAGGATTGCCACCCAAAGTGTTTCATGAGCATGTTGGTCAAATGGGTGTCAAACCAGTTGAAGATTATGAGTTTTAGTGGGAGTTGGTAATGTTTCTATAATTTTGGTTAATTCAGTTTTAAGGATATTTTCTGCAGAAATAAAGTATAAAGTTTAAAGTTTAAAGTTTTATGTACTCTTACAGTTACATTATTGATCTCAAGGTGGATCAGTTGGAAATAGACATTCTATTCCAGACCACACTTCATGTTATTTCCACGCTACACACCTATACTTGATCCATGTCGTTTATTATATTAATATATGTGATCATTGATGGGTCTAGTTATGTGAATATAGCAAAGACTTCTTTGGTCCTATGTTGATATAATTAATGGACCGGATTGATTAAAGATGACTACAGTTTGATAGCAAAATTCCGGAGCTCCTAAAGTAAACATACAATACTAAGGATTGTGTATACATATGTGTATGTCGTCCAAGTGGGAGATTGTTAGATTATTGGACTTATACTACATATAATATTCACAATATATTATTTATTGGGTTAATTGTATGTTATATGTTATCTTATATTTAGCCCAAAAATTAGTGGTACTATGTATATTAATTTAAGTGGGCTAATAAGTTATCTAATAAGGTATAGGGCCCAATTGTGTAGAAACCCATGGGCTTAACCTAATTAATGATGGGCTTATTAGGGTTAAGCATTCTCTATAAATAGAGGGGTTATGGTCCCTAGTTGAACACGTCATTCCGTCTTTCTGCATCCCATCGCTAGAGAGATAATTCCCGAGGGTGTGTATCAACTAGAAGACGCAAACCCTAGCCTCCGTCTCCCGGATCTCCAGAGATATCTCCTATGGAGTCAGGTACGCTTCCGCTCAATTAATTCTCTAGATAATTCCAATATGAAGATTAAAGTATTATCGGATGATTAAAGTATTATCGGATTTATTCCAACATCCATAAAAATTCTTAGATAAATCATGAAGACCTCTGGAGTTTAATAGAATGCCGCATAAACTTTTTAACTAGGGACTCTTGAGAAGACCCCTTGAACCGAGTGCAATTTTGTTCACCTCCTCATTGGAGAGTGAACATACCCCCTCCCTATTTGCATGCCATGTGACAAAAAAAGAAATGAAATGTCAAATGGCAACATTTGAGATATGGGGGGTGATGTTCACCCTCCAAGGAGGGGTGAGCAAAATTGCACTCCCTTGAACCATTCAATAATAACGTGGAGTACCTCTACGATGAGACTATTGCCATAGGTTATTATCATCTTCGCTGGTCATCAACCGAATATCCACTTCGCCTCAAAAGTCAAAATGTCTGATAATTAGTATGTTAACTACTCCTAATTAGGTGAAACAGAATTAATACCGTAATGATATATAAGGATGTTTTCTTTTGGACTGAAATTTGCTGGTGTGGTTTGGTCTGGTTTGGTCTGGTCTGTGTTTAAGTCTGGTTTGGTCTGATCTGAACTGGTCTGGTAAACGTCTGGTCTCTGTGTATTTTATAACTAAGAAATTCAGGTCTGGTCTAGGCTGGTCTATTTAAGTGTGGTCTGGTCTAGTCTGGTCTGTTTAAGTCTGGTCTGGTCTAATCTGGGACTGAAAACAGTACAAAAGAAAACATCCTAAATGTCTCAACCAACAACAAATCTAGCTTTACATCAAACTAATTAAAAGTGTAAATCCTTTAATTATTCCGACATTCAATAGAAAAAGAAAACCAAAATATAGTTGCAAATCTCTAATATATTCTATAACACTTGAAAGTAATTAAACATGCGTGTAATAGCGAATTGCGGAAACTAAATTAAACATCAACCGCCATGGACTTCATGGAAGTAAAGGATTAACCACAGTGCCAACAAAGACAACAAGCCCGGAGACATCCTCCCGGATGAAGAAGGCAAAGGGATGGTCAGCTACAAAGTCAATTTTCTCTTCCTCAACCATAGAAATTCCACATCCAAAACCTCCCATTACCACAGTAACTGCAGCAGCTTCTGTTCCCTTCTCATTGACATCAACAACACACTTGTGGATGATGCTTGAAACAAAGGGGCTCTCCCTCGGGTCTACCACCATTTCGCCTAGACCAGCACGGGAAAATTGCACCCCGAGATCATCTAAAACGTGTACAGCATCAAAGTCGAAAGTTATTTTGAATTTCGGTATGCGAAACTCGCCCACATCAACCGGAATCCTCGGGGCGTGGCGCTCAAGAAATTGGGATTCTTTAGCCATCATGTCTATGAGTGATGGTAGACCATTCTTTGCATTAGGCAAGACGAAATACATGGAGAATCGCCGCCTCATATCCTTACCTTGCTTGTACGGTAGACTCAGGATTTTGAAATCATCGAATGCTTTGACATACTGCCTTTGAGCGCTACTCATAAAAGGTACTTGGATAGATGATCCGTTCATGAGGTAGAAATCTCTATCTTTTGTGTATCTTTCTTCAAACTTTTCAGCCCAAACCCCTTTAAAGTAGAGCGCATTTGCAAGGATGATGATAGTCGTTTTAGGACAAACATTATTCTTATCAAGTACATTTTTTATAAGACCACCGGTTTTCTTCTCAACCCATGAATTGACAACATCAACTGCTTCATCTTTCTACAAATTAACAAGTACAAAGAATGTAATTAAATAGGCATAATCATAACCATGTATAAAAGGTCTAATCACAAGCGTATACTCCGTAATTACTAAAATTTGGGTACGTCGTTACTAATAACATGATTATAAAAAAGGAACAAATTAAATTGCTTTTCTGTGTATAGATAAACAGTTGCCCGCAGCCCTTTAATTTACTTATGGCAAAAAATATGATTATATGTGACTTTTCAATTCTCTCATTAGAGCATCTCCAATGGTGTTCTTTGAAGTGAAGGTAAATTTTGCCAAATGTCAAATAATTATACTATTCCAATGGTGTTCTTTGGTATGGCGGGTACTAACAATGATGTTACTGTTCTTGATAGATCTCCTCTTTTTGATGACCTTGTTAATGATACTGCACCACCATGCGACTTTAAAATACAAGGCCATCAGTACAATATGGGATATTATCTATCTGATGGATGGTATATACCCACAATATGCCACGTTAATCCAAACTATATCACAGCCCATTTCTATGAAGGAGAAGCTATTTGCAAAATGTCAAGAATCTGTTCGGAAGGATGTGGAACGCGCATTTGGAGTGTTACAAAGTCGTTGGCATATAGTAAAAGGTCCCGCTCGCATGTGGAGTGCAACTGATTTGGGAAAAATAATGAAGACGTGTATCATTTTGCACAATATGATTATTGAAAGTGAGGTTGCTGAAGGCATCAATCCAGAAAATTGGCGGCCAGAAAGCGACGAAACAGTAGAAGATATTACTCCAGAGCATGATTTTACTTATCTTATGTCTAGGATAAATGGTAGAATGAAAAAAATTCAAGATAAAAGAGTACATATAGATCTAAAACGTGATCTTATCAACCACCTGTGGGAACTGTATGGTGGTCAGAGTGAAGATTGAAGTATCTTTTTTAAGTTATACTGTATCCCAAGTATTGCATGCATTTGAGTTTGTGAATTTTATTCAGATTTTTGTAGTTTGTTTCTTGAGTGCAATAAATTATAAGTGTGACTTTTACATATTTTCGAATGTTTTTTAACAATTGGTCAAATTGTGTATGTTGGGATGACCTTATGGTGCTCAGTATATCTATTTGATTTTATACACAAGTAGTTTATTATTCTTTTATTATTTTGTGTTTTTGTTGCTTAGTATTGATGATCGAATCTGACTTGTTATTTTTTTCTCAATTAACTTAACCCCTATTCGTCAAACCCGATAAATAAGACTGCTGCAATTGGCTTCTAAACTCACTAAACTATGTTTAGCTCCAAATTAAGCACCACTTGAAAATAAAGCCCCTGTTTGCCAAATAGTAAAACCCCAGCATCAACACAGTGAAAATTAAGCACTTGGAATGATACAACAATATATCTTCCAATGGTGAAAAACTAACTCATAAACTAAACATGTCACAAATTTTAATTCCAGGTGAACCTACACTTGAAAAGCAAAGTAAACATTCATTCTAAACAAAAAAATTAAAGTACGACACACATTAATATGTGTTCAAAACTAAATGTAAGACAGAAAGTCAAAAACACATAAAATAATAAAGAATGACAATAAATCTAAAAGTTCTTAATCATAGTTTTCATGTGAGAAAATCAAAGCCAAATCCTTCAAACTTGATGCCTCTAAAATGCAACCTGCACATGGTGAAATGATAAAACAGATCAATTTAAACTCTAAATTTATTATCATATATATAAGTAACAAAATAAAATAAGATCAAATAAACAATTATATACTATGAACACTTACTTTTGTAGATTAGAAAAGACCATCACTTTCCCATTCTTTCAAAATTTTTTCTTGCATAACATCATAACAAGCTCTAACTGATGGTGATAGCTTCCTCAAATCTTGGTTCATAATGCGGTTCTGGTACTGCCTCCTTTGAGCCTTTTCTTTTAATTCAATTTCTTTCATCAATACTTTTTCCCTCATTTGCATGTTTGCTCGATTAACATCAACTTGTTTCTCTAATGTTGATTGCAAATTATTCAAGGCATCCACCACACCTTTTTCTTCATTTGACCTGCGTTTTTTGTCTTTACAATTTTTCCTTCCTTGTGGTCGAACAATTCCATCGGGGTCAGTTTCTTTTGATGGTGTAAGATCTGCAGGCATAGTACTTGAGCACTCATTCAATGTTGGTGAAATGCCATTATCTGAACCTTGTTTGTTAGATGCACCTGCCTTTGTATGAAACTGTGAGCACCACTTTGGATTCTTGATCAATATTTCCCAACAATGAAGAAATTTGAATGGAGTTGCATAAAAATCCTCATACAAGCGTAATGCTTTGATCACCTAATGAAAGTGTATCATACATAATAAGTCACATTTAAAAATACATTCATGGAGTGGCATATGTTTGAAAAAGTTTCCATGTTTTAAATCAAATAATCGATACACTGGCTTGCAAAATCATATATTATATAGTAATAAGTGCTATAATAAAAAATGTAATAACAAGTACTAAAATATAACACGACTCTTACCAAGTCATCCTTATTTGAACCACTTTGTGGACGTCGTTCCAACTGTTCATACTTCGCAACAAATTTACTTACACAAGTTCGTATTAGGTGCCAATGACATTGCAGGCTGTTGTTGTTTCTTGATATCTTGTGAGTTGGCCCCATTTTCTCTTTCCAAACTTCTAGGACGCGATTCCACATGGCAGCACTTTTCTGATTATTTCCTACATCTGCATCCACAGATATATGAAGCCAGGCCTCTGTCAGTGCAACCTCCTCTTCAATAGACCAATCTTTCTTAATAATGGAAGGCGGGGGAGAAGCAGGTTGAGAAGTATTAGAGTTTTGAGCATTTTTAGCTCTCTTTTTTGATGCCTTGATGGGCTCACAACTTTGAGGAGTCACCATGGGTGTATTGAGCAGTTCTTGGTAGGAGAATTGTTGTGAGTTATGCTGCTCGATATGGAAAGGAAAGGTTCCACTTTTAGGATCAACATGTGATACACTTGTAATTTCCGTGTGTATGTTTACGTTTTTAGCTAGTTTTGGTTGTTTAGTATTTCAGAAATTACACACTTTTGGTGTAATAGTTTAGTTTGTTAAATTCTTGTAATTTGTTTAGATTAGGGTCATTCTGAGCTCAAACAGGTCTACCATCACTCAAAGGACAGTTGGTGAACCCCAAAAGTGGAAGGAAGGTGCAAAATCACAAGACAAAAGGGAAAATCCTGATTTTGGTCTATACTCGGTCGAGTATTACCTATACTCGATCGAGTATAAGGTTCAAACTTCAAATCGGATCGGATCCGAAGACAAAGGAACATGCCGGGAAGATTTTGGCCACGATTTAGTGTCTATACTCGATCGGGTAGACCGACATACCCGATCGAGTATGCCTTTGAGTTTAAACCCGAAATCGGTCGAGTATGGCTCGAATATCACTTTCTGCACATACTCGACCGAGTATGAACATATACTCGATCGAGTATACCTCGAATCTGGTATTTCTACACATACTCGATCGAGTATCTGTATATACTCGATCGAGTACCCGAGCCTGCACCTCAAAAAGCCTATAAATACACCTCCTTTCCTTCACTTTAAAAAACCAATTCCTTTATACTCTTAAGCTCAGTTTAGAATAGTATTTCTTTTATATTTTATAGCATGTTTAGTCTCCAAATGAGGAGCTAAACTTCCATTTCTTGGTATTGCTCTTGAAGCTTGTTGATTATTAAAGTTGTGAGTTATTTTCTTAACTTCTTTTCCTTGAATATTAATTCTTCCTTTAAATACTATTTCTATATCAATGTTGGGGAATGTTACTAAGATGACAATTAGTTAACATCTTGACATTGGTTTTAGTAATAGCTATTCCTTCCTCTATGTTAATATCGGGGAGTGTTACTAAGATGACAATTAGTTAACATCTTGATATTTAACTATAGTAGGATTCATTCCCTTTAATATTCTTCCTTGAGTATTAATTAATTCCTATTCATATTTCATATTAATATTATGAACATTACTTAAAGGATCAACTAGTTTTGTTTCACATATTAATTATTACTAGAAACAATCAACGAACCGATGGTTAATCGTTGATAGTTTCACAAGTAAGTAACTTCGGTTTGTTAATGCACGGTCGTGGTTAATAAACTTAAGAGGGATTAATTTTGTTGGTTAAACCGAGACCGTTGTGTTAAGGTTATCAATCTCAATTGATTTCATCAAGGAGTTAAAAGATTAAATGCTACTATCAAGTCGGTATATGGCGTTGTTCTATACTTGACTAATAGTAAGGGTTATTAATGAACGGTTGTTGTTAATAACTATCCTCGATGAATTGGATATACTCCTCGATTGAGTATTCGAGAGGAAATAAGTTATAGATATAACAATGATCGACTAAAATATATCAACAAGTGGAAAATAGCAATGCCAAGTCACTTTTATCTTTGAATTAAATCCCACATAACTCGTTCATCTTCGTGTTTAATCTAATTAAATCACTCAACAATCAAAACCCCCCTTTACTTACTATTTATATAAAAAGAAAGTTATTCCTTTCCCTGTGGATACGAACTCTACTACGCTATACTACGTATAAGTGCTAGTATTGAATTTATTTTGAGTGCACTCACGACAAAGTGCACGTCAAAACCCCCACAAATTTGACGTGCACTTTGTCGTGAGTGCACTCAAAATAAATTCAATACTAGCACTTATACGTAGTATAGCGTAGTAGAGTTCGTATCCACAGGGAAAGGAATAACTTTCTTTTTATATAAATAGTAAGTAAAGGGGGGTTTTGATTGTTGAGTGATTTAATTAGATTAAACACGAAGATGAACGAGTTATGTGGGATTTAATTCAAAGATAAAAGTGACTTGGCATTG